GAAATGGTGGTCTTGGAGGAGGCAATGGAGGATATGGAAATGGTGGTTTAGGAGGTAGTGGAGGTTTAGGAGGTAATAGTGGCTATGGAAATGGTGGTAATGGAGGTAATGGAGGATATGGTAATGGAGGTAATGGTGGTTATGGAAATGGTGGTTTAGGAGGTAATGGAGGATTAGGTGGTAATGGGGGAAATTTTAATCCAAATCAAAATGCTCCTCCAGCTGCCAAAGTAAGTTTTAATAGCTATTTTGGAAAATCCGGACGGAATGGCCGAGGACAATCCGGTGGATCAAATAATGGAGGATTTAACAACTATGGCAGTCAAAATGGTGGAGGCACTGGCTCCTTCGGAGGCCAAAATAATGGAGGTCTTGGCTCATATGGTAGTCAAAATTTCGGCGGTCTTGGCAGTTACGGCGGTCAAAATGGTGGTGGTTCTGGGTCCTATGGTGGTCAACCCAGTGGAGGTTTTGGTGCTTATGGTGGACTGAACGGAGGAGGTTCTGGTTCATACAATGGTCAAAATAGTGGAGGTTTTGGCTCTCAAGGAGGAGGTTCTTCTCCATATGGTGCTCAAAATGGTATTGGTAACGGCTTTGGAGCTGGACAAAACGGAGGATCGGATCTTAGCGGATATGGGCAAAACAATGGATTTGGAAAAAGTTCACCGGGAGGATTTTCATCAGAATCTTCTGGTCAAGGATCAGGATATTGATACATTACATTGTAATTTTAAATTATAACTAATTTATTAAATTATTGTTTTATAAACTAATATTATGCATTGAATATGTGTATTATTTATAAATATTAACTTCTAATTTAAGTTGTTTTTCAGTAAAAACTTTTTTAAAAACAAAATGATTGTTGAGTTTATTATTATTTGTGACCATTGTTTAATATTATGTACATAATAGCGTATAAGGTTACAGGTACCAAATTACAAAAAACATTTCTCTTTCCCACCTCACATTCCAACTTTTCAATGAATGACCCTTTTGCTCAAAGCTATGAGCTTTCTAAAAAATAAATAAATTTTATCTTTGGCTTTAATAAATTCTTTTTTTTTGTTTTATTAATCTGTTTAAGTTATATTTTAATGTTATGATTACCCATAAGTATAAAGGTAAAATTAATTGTTAAATACCTCTTTAAAAAAAGAAAAAAACTGACAGGTGTATATTTATTATATACATATAAAATAAAATATAGTCCTCTAAATTACACTATTTCTTCGAGTAATTTTAAGTATACACAATGTATTAACATTATTACATCTGTTATCGTTAAAGTATGGAATTCATTTTTTTTTTAATAATTTAACGTATTAACGCATTATTGCTTTAATCAAAATAATATATTTAAAATTAATTAATGCTAGAAATTTGTACAATATCGTCTACAATACCTGATCATCAGAGACGTTTACGAAGTGTTAATAAAAAAACTTGTACCTATGGCTATATTATTATTATTTATTATTATTATTGGGTGCGAGGGCGCAAAGTCGCAGACATTTGTCTTTACAGGCCACGAGAATGCGGTAGGCGATATCGAACTTATATAGTGCTGTGTAGCACGTCATCACTGACCTTTTGGCGAAATACACGTGATCCACAAACTTGAGCGTCACGTAATAGTTGCCGGCAATCGATATCGTGCTGAGCAACGCCACCGTGGCCGACCTGAACGCGGTCTTCCGGCCGTGCTTCATCAGCATACCGTACTTGAGGTAACCGAACACGACGACGGCCAGAGCCAGCCAGGCGGGCGCTCGGTATTCGATCGACCTGAAGCCGGACGTAACGACGTCCACGCATTGGCCGCCGTCCGCGTCGCCTTTGGTCTGTAACGACCTTTCCATGCGGCTCAGCGAATGCTGGATGCGCCGGAGTCGGACGCCGAACACGACAGTCAGCAGCGTGCTGATCGCATTGATTGCGTTCATCGACAGCGAGTTCATACTGGCACTGTAGTGGTGGTCGTAGTCGTCGTCGAACCAAATCGACCGGACTTCCTCGAACGCCAAGTACGATTGCACAGCGATTATGGCCAACAGTAACACGGTGCGACGGACCATGCCCGTGCCGTTGAACGCCGTACGCGGCGGACACTCGGTAAAAAAATGTTTGCGATTGTCTTGCGAACGATCTCTTCGAACAGAAAACCGACGACCACGAGACCCGTACTCTTTTTATTTGCGACGACACCAAATCGGGCAGGTGGATTTTTGTGGTGCCGCGATATAAGAGACGTAGGTACGTTTTAAAGGCAACCGATACGTCTATACTCTTTCGTGTATCCACGGCGACGTCACTCACAAATGTCATTATAAAATCGTCGGTTGTCACTGGAAGTGTGTTATAGTCGAGCGTACGTTTTCGAGTGTTCTTTTGCTGTCACAGTGTGTACAAACAATTACAATTAACGTAATAGAATATGATATTTTAGTAGAATGAACCACTCGAATACGAATCGATTACACGCCGTCGGCAAAAAGCGCGTATTTATGGAGACGGTTGAGAGAGTGGCAACCCCTCCACTACCCTGGAAATGTTTTTGAAAAAAACAAGTGGTCATAAATTATTATTATTTACGTACAACTGTACAAGAGTACTTCCCAAAAACGTGAACGATTTTAATTATGTAATTTTCGTGGAAATATCATTTTATATTCATTTTAATATTTATATACTACCAATATTCAATGTTATGTATTATTCTCATAATCGTTTTCGATTCCTAGAAAAAAAAAAAAATTAAAAAAAAAATGAACCCCGAGACTCAAAACTTTTAATGTACATTATGATTTATACTGTACACTTAAAGTACCTATGTAGATTAATTTTAAAATATTTTTAAACCTTTTTTCGATAAATTGGTATTGATTTAAAAATTGACAACTATAATATAGTATGATATATGTAATAAATATATACCGTGTGTTCATCAATTTAGGGAACACCGAATTTCTTGGCCGGATTGAATTAGAATAAATCGAATTTTTTTTACAAGCTAGTGGTATATAGATATACGTACATTAATAGATCAATTTCAAAATATATCATTTCGGTATGCATATGCCCAATAACATTTTTTTTTTTAAATTGCAACAACGATTTTGAATACCATATTCGGATAGGCCTAATTTTTTTAAGTAATTTTTATGTATCAACTATGGTTCTGAATTAAAAATTGATTGAATAAAAGTAATTTTCTTTTTAATAAATAAATACATTTTTACGATCCGTTTAAGTGCATAAAATCATTTATAATTATTTATTATTGATTAATTTTTGAATGTTATTACGTATTTTTATTTATTTATATGTGTTATACAACCTTGATGTAACATTCGCATTTATCTCCAAAATTTAAAAGAATAACATAAAACTGAAGCAACAATTGAATCGTTTATTTCAACAAATAAAGTATTCAAGAGAAAAAAGTACAATGAAACATGGAATAATAACTTATTGCAAATATATAAATGAATAGTTGATGATTCTAACTATAATTTAAATGAATTTATAAGAGCTATTGCTTATAATCTAAAATATTAACAATTATTATATTAATTTTTTATTATAAAAGAATTATTAAAAACATTAAAATTTTATACATTTTATATACTAGCAAACAGTAAAAAAAATAAAAATATTTCTAAAAATTTAAATTCTGAAAATTTTATTTTTTAAATCACAGTGTTTCTAAAACTTGGTAACTTAAAACTCAGCATTCTAAAATATGATTTTCTAAAACCTGCCTCAATACCGATAATCAGAGTGACGTTTATTCATTCTCTAAAAACTTAGTTTGGTATTATTTTTTATTTTAATTTTATTTATAAAACGGATTTATTACATTTTAATTTGTTTTATACTTATAATACTCACCTATATCTAATTGTTATTTTCATTATATTGCTGGTAGATTAACATTCACTTATGAATATTGTTTATTGGAAATAAACCTAAACTTATTAGATATTTACAAAAATGTTGAGCATAAAAGTTGTAATATTTATGCACTTAACTATAAATTATGGTTTGAAATTATTTGCATATTATTTATTCAAATTGTATTCAGTTGTGATATAATTAAGAACAAGTGAAAAGAGGGATAAAAAAAAAAAAAAATAAGTAGTGTTTTATTGACTATTGCATAAAGTCGTGGTTGCGACGAACAAATAGTGAACAGCTTTTATATTTTCATCTAGCGAAAAAAAACCCTGCTAATATTGTTCAATAAAAATACTTTTTTTGAAATATTAAGCATTCTATAATAAAGTATAAAAAATATTGTCATTCCAAAAAAATTAATTTTTGTAAAAAATTTGTAAAGTTAGGATCGCTGATACTGTTAATGTACTAATATACTCGTAGTTCCTAGTTTATTTTATGTACGACGTTTCTGAATTATAAATCATAATTCATAACTTAATAAATTATGAATAAATCATATGAAATTATCAATTCTTTTGTTGCATACTTATAAATATATATACAATGAAATCAAATGCATATTTAATTATTTATTATTGGATATAAATCCTAACCCTATTCATAATCAATAATTTTGGTAATACAAACTAAATTATTGTTAAATAAAAATTTTTAAATCATTTAAATGTATTTGAAATTTTAAATAACACGAATTTAATTATTGTCTGTATAATAAACTAATAAGACACCTATATGATAATGGTATAAATTTAATTTGTAAAAAATTCAATATAAAAAATGAATAACAAATGTAATTACAAAATAATTATATAATTATCAATATGAATACGTACCTAATATTAATATTAACAAAATCAACATTATTTTCATATTTCATTTTACGTAAATATGGTAACTTATACTTACTTATATAATTATACAGAATTGTAATATGGTAAGCAACTACATTTTATTTTATTTTTTTATAGAATCGTTATGTATTTTAGAGTTAATGAGTTTAACATATTCTTCTAAAAATTATAGATGATTTATAAGTAATGGATCTTCTGTACTCAGTATTTCAGTGATTATCTATTAAAAAAAGATTTGTGATAATGTGACCTATGTAATATTAATATTATGCTAAATGTTATGTAAAGTACCAATTAAAAAAAAAAAAAAAACTATTTCAATAGAAAAATAAGGTTTATTCAAATAAAACAATTATATATCAAACAAGTATTAAAATGATTAAATTAATGTTAAATACATGATAATAAAATTAATAAATATCATCGCCATAGTTTAAAAAGTAAAAGAGGATTGTATACATTTCACCAATAAAAAAAGAAATATGATTTATACATACAAATATATGTAACTCAATATTATACAGAAATACGTGTAAAGCAACCAAAAACTAAACTGTGCAAAACACACAAATATAAAATTTGTGAATATAAACACCAATGTTTATAATACTATAAATGGAATAATATTAACGATACAACTAAAAAATGGTATCGTAGTAGGTATTTATTTATTTATTTAATGAGTAAATACTTTAAATTTAATAATAAGATGATTATAAATTTGAGCAACAAATATAGTACTAATAAGATGACCCACTTCCTAAACCATTACGATTACTACCATAAGATCCACCTAGACCACTACTTGAACCACCGGATCCTCCATATCCTCCTCCTAGACCACCGCTTGAGCTTCCCGATCCACCATATCCACCACCTAAGCCACTACCACTAGAACCTCCTGATCCACCATATCCACCTCCTAGACCACCACTTGATCCACCGGATCCACCATATCCACCTCCTAAGCCACCACTTGATCCACCGGATCCACCATATCCACCTCCTAAACCACCACTTGATCCACCAGTTCCACCATAACCACCCCCTAGACCACCACTTGAACCACCGGAACCACCATATCCACCTCCTAGACCTCCACTTGATCCACCGGATCCACCATATCCACCTCCT